GTGTTTGTAATTCTATACATTTAATTAAGTTATTGTTAATTGTTATTGGTTTATTGTTAGTGACTATTGTTCGGGACGAACAATACTAAGGAGGGGCAGAGTTGCGTCAGCGAGGTCACGTGACTAGTATCACGCCACGTCCTTCTAGAAATATCCTGTTCCTTCGTGAATGATCTAGCATTTACTAGAGATGTGTTAGTCTTGTATATATAAGACCGTCAGAACGTGACGGGGGTAATGTAATGAGTAATTGAACTGCAGTCAGAGAGAATATTGTTGAGCACGTGAGACGTTCGTTTGAATTATAGCGTTTGTTATAGCGCGACTGTTGAAATTAAGTGTATCGCAAAGTTATATTCAAAAAGAATAAACCAGTTTTATTTAAGAAAGGACTTGTGTCACTAAAGTTTCGTCGGAACGAATTTATGGAAAATTAACTAACGAACGGAGACGTAACATGTATTTCATATTCTACTTTAATAAGTGACGGGAGTACTCCATTTTTGATATGTGTGTGTATGATATGTCAGTGCTTTGTAATAATGATGTATTTGAACTTTGAAATAAACACAAAGATAATAATGACCGGGGTTAGTTTATCTCGTGTTTTCACTTTATCCACACTAATATTAACATGAAATGGGAAAATACAATCATTTAATTAGATGTACTGTGTTCTTGTGATTCCTTTTATAACTCTATTATACCATTTCACACAATCTAACATAAACTGGGACCTTTCAGAAAGACAACATAATGATAGGGTGTGTCAGAGTTGCGGAATTTGATAAATTCCTATAGAAAGGGGAGCACCCTAAAAATATTACTTTTCAATAAAAAAAAAGCTATCACTTTGCAAGGGTTATTGCATAAAATAGAGATATATTGGATAACAAAATTTTGCCTGTGTGGGCGGTGCCGAATGGTCACATTATAGGTCCAGGAAAAAGGAATAAATATTCACAGGACCAATATGGGGTGTCTAAAGTTGTCGTTAGACAGTCAACAACGCATTACATCACAATGTGAATGTTGAAGATACCCAATTTGGATAGGTTCATCAATGAGCAATCATGTAAATAGGTATTGCAGTCGGAGACGTCATTTGGAAAGAGGGGTGACAGGGGCGGCTGTCCCCACCCAAGATTGGGGAGAAACCCCAAATGGCAGTTTCTGTAAGACATTTCTAATTAGACGGATTAACGCAAATATGCAAATTACGCCATAGCATAAGGCCTCAGTTG